TATAAGTGGGAGCATTAGCACCATTCAACTCCACCGGTACTATTCATCTATATATGAATCACTCCTGTCTCCTCAATGGAATAGTCTAGACCCTTGGGAAAGAAATGACCTCTAAAACTGACTACCTCAAAGTGTATGTGGGTTTTTTTGCCCCAGCAACACTACTTTTAGGCTCATGACTGACAATACACACACTCAGATGAAAACTATGCACGTCGATTATACTCAAATTTTATGAGTTTAGTGATACTATAAGTCAAGACCAATGAGTTCTCGTCTCGGCCACTGTTTAGCATTGTACCAACTCATGTGGGTTTTATAGCACTCGAGATCATTTATTATTCAAGAGACTGAAAAAATCTTTCGCCAGAAAATTTTCTATGGGTTAACACACAATGTAAGGTGGTAGGCACACCCAGAGGAACCCAAACTTGTCAGACGCACAAATAGACTTGTTTTAAGAATTTTTTTTGACAAAATGATTAGTAACAGTAATTCTTGATCGTATACAAATGTACACTACCTGACAATATCAAATGTATTAAAACCACTGGAAAATTCTCGTATCATAAGCTATGAGCTCCATCATTCCTTTTTTCGCTTTTCTCTTTAATCTGACTAATATAGCTGCTAGAAAGAATAAGATCCATAAAATATTTGAAAAGGTTACTCACCTGCAATCTGTAGTGAAAGTTTTTGAGCTTCCCCCATGTTGAAGATGCAGAACTTCCAAGAAGACTACCCTAGGAGAGAGACAAAGAGAGGTAGAGAGAGAGAGACACTTCTTCATATGTAGCTAAAGAAGGCTGAAGATAAGATCAAAAGGAATGTTATATATCTCAAACAAATTTCAAAATCAGCAATCCAAATGATATGGCACACCATGTCATTTGATGGGTTCTACCATGTGCTTGTTTTGTCTTCGCATCATGCATGATGACCGATGAGTTCTCTCTCCTATTTCCCATTTCTTGTTTTATTTACTAATTAGTTATTCTTACACTTAATGTTGATTAGTTACTAAGTTAAAAAATTAATTAAAAAAATTAATTAAAAGATTAATTAAAAAAATTAACACAAAAATTAGTTAGAGAAATGAGTAAAATGTTAGTTAAAAATTAACGAAAAGATTAATTAAAAAAATTAACCCAAAAAATTAGTCAAAAAAATTAGTAAAAAAATAATTAAAAACATTAATTAAAAACATTAACGAAATACCTACTATGAGGAAAGGGCTTTATGTTTAGGGAGACCGAATGATATTATAAAATAAGACAAGAAAAGGAAAATACAAGAGAGAACTCATCGGTCATCAGGCTTTATGTGATAACAAAGCAAGCACATGGTGGGATCAATCAAATGACATGGAGTGTGCCATGTCTAGAGTTTAGAAAATAACATGAATTTAACACAAATAATAAATGGGTGAGACTTATATTAAACATGAATAATCTTAATTAACTGTTACTTTGAAAAAAAAATGTGTCACTTTAAAATTTTTTTATATTGTCGTATAAGTACTTTTAAAATTATATAATTTTTTTAAGCACACGAGAGCATGACATGAATACGAGCCAAACTCAAAAAAGGAACTGCCAAAAATTAATAAATCAAACGTAACATTGGCATTCCCAAGAACATCATCTATTTCAAACGTAACATTGACATTCCCAAGAACATCATCTATTACTTGATAGCCATGCCAAAAATAGGGAATATCATCTATTTTTCTTTGCACATGGCCGGCCATTCCTTGGTTGGAGCACTACATAGTGTGATAATGTTTTTTTTTTTTTAACAAATATACCTGACGTGAGTTGCTCAGACAGATTGGACTTCAACCAGCCTAAAAGCAAAGATAAGAAGTGGCCTATTCATTGCCCAATAGATCAGTATATCGCCGCTTCCCTGAGGAAGTTTTTTTTTTTGGTCACATGAATAAAGATTCAGAAACCATCTAATCCACATTTTTTAATTAAATTTTGTCGAATGATAAATTCTTTACTTTATATTTATTAAATTCACACAAATATAAGGGTTAATTGCACTAAAGATCCCTCATGTATGAGATTTGTCTCATTTTGGTCCACAATATTTCAATTATATCATTTTTGTCCCTGAAATATTAAATATGTTTTTATGTGGTCCCTCAAGTAGCTAACATCCAAATTGCTAACAATTTTTGTCCATATTTATGTATCACGTGACAAATTTAAGTTAAAATATATAAATTACATAGAATCAAGTTAACTAGTGTGGATAGATTTATAGAACACTTATTGTTGCACCAATGAGAAGAGTTATTTTATACTTGTGAGAAAATTAACTATAAATCACTTAATGAAAAGGGAAATTATACTTTGGTATCCTTAACTACTGACTCATTTTTCACATTACTCACCAACTATCATGTTTTTTATGTTACACTTTCAATGTTAGTTTCACATTGCGTCAATAATCAATGTCTACTACAAATTTGACGAAAAAAATAATTTATTTTACTCCTAACTACGTGGTTTGCATCACTTTACCTTTGGCACGTTAACAATTTTTGTCCAAAAAGATTACAAATGTTTGATTTTGGGATAATGTAAAATTAATTCAAATAGTTGAGGGGGTCATATAAAAAATTTAATAGTTCAATTAATAAAATAAAATTGAATTCATAGTTAAAAAGGTCAAAGTATAATCCCTAAAAAAAAAAGACATGATAACCTTATATATATATATGTTGAGATAGAAAATTTTCAATTTGGGTGAAGTATATTGCTATATACAATCAAATCAAATACTACAAAATGGATTGAAATTATCTACGATATGTTTTTTCTCAAATTTATTTTTCTTGACAAATCATCTATCTGTATCACGCATTCAAATAAAACTCGTTATATATAAATTAGTTAGTCTCTTACTTATTAATAATAAATAATCCGCTTAAAAAAATATTTGCATGAACTCGTGGTGATAAAACTTCAGATTGGCAGATCACTTTAAAAACTGTCAACCCTATCCATTCGTGACAGAAATTGATCCAACAGGTTGTGTACTCTTTTGTCGTCCCAATAATTACTAAGCATTGATTTTATTTTTTATTTGTATATAACTTTTGATCCTTCAAACTTCAAACGATTGTGGTACTCTCCTGAAGTGCTATAATTGGATATAATGGCTCCCTTCAAACTTCATACAAGATATGTGGGTCTATTTTTTTTCGGTAAGTAAGATGAATTCATTAAAACCTAAAGTTTAAAGTGCATGGTGTTTCCAAAAGGATGGTTGATCTTCTCAACAAGAGAGAAGAAGATCATCCATCCCAACAGAAAAAAGATAAAGCGAAAAGATTAAAAAAATCCTAAAGGATTGAAATAAAAGGTGTACAAATCAGTAGCCTATCTGAGCTTCAAAGTTTGGGCAGAAGCTTGAACAAAAACCATCCAATATAGATGGGATAGAGGAAGCAGCCAGCAACACCAGCAGGCTTAAGGATGTTCAAAAAAAGGGAGAATCAGCCTCAAGTACTAGCATCAACCAGCAATCACATATTTGCATTTTCCTTCCTTGAATGCCAAAAAATAAATGATAATATCTGACCCTCCGGTCTCCAAACATCAGCAAGAAAGAAAGCAGCAGCAGGCACCCATATCAAACAAGAACATAACTGAAGCTCAGGCAGAGCAAAACAGACCCAGGTAGAACCGGGCCTCACAGAGGTGACCACCAGTAAAGGATCCCAAGCAAAGCAGGCAGAGAGAAGCCTCTCAGAAACAAAAGACAAAAGAATCCAAGGATGGACAATCTTCTAATCCTATTAGGTATCCATAATCAAAATCAGGAGCAGAGTCCCCACAACGCCAACAAAAACATTCAGGCCAAACAATTCATAACCACCTTCCTCACCTCAAACCATTACAACAAAAATCATTTCTTGCGACAATTTTTTTCGTTACTAAAATAAAAAAAAATCGTCACTATTTATTTTTTGCTACGTTTTTTCTTTGTCGCGTGTTTGTCGCAATAATCTCGTCACAGAAAGTATTTTATGACGCAATTTTATTGTCATTACAAAAAAAAACAATTTTGTAACAAAAAAAACGCGTCTCTAAAATTTTAAAAAACGTAGCTAAAATCTATTCCACCAGTGTAAAAGAAATAAAAAATAATAATTTAATTAATTTTTTGCAACGCAAAAAAATCGTCGCAAATAAATTTTTAAATAAATAAAAAATGTAAAAAATAATAATTTAATTAATTTTTCACGATGTAAAAAAATCGTCTCAAATAATTTTTTAAATACATAAAAATGTAAAAAATGATAATTTAATTAATTTTGCATGATGTAAAAAAATCATTGCAAATAATTTATTACATAAATAAAAAATATAAAAAAATTAAATAAATACATTTGCGACGCATAAAAATTGTCGCGAAAAAGATTGTTCATACAATTTTTCGCAACGATTTTAATTTCGTCGCAAAAAAGATCATTTTTTTTAAATAACCCTTCATAAAAAATGGTATTTCAATAAAATTTTTTACCTGTATACCAATAATACATGCGTTCAATAAAAAACTAACACAATTAATACATTTTACATCTTTTCCATTCAATAACCAACACAAACTATAACAAAAACATAAAATATAATACATTTAAAAAAAGTTATACAAATCATCAAAATATTCAACAACGTAATCTACATACAAGTTTCTCAAAATATTTAAATATAATTTCTAGCTAAAAAAAGAGGAAATGAAAATGGCAAAACAAACTTTCGTCAGTGTCTTGGATATTCTAGTAGTATATCAAAAGAATTCAAGAATACAAACTATACAAGCAATGTCTCACAATAAAGGACTATGGCAGAAGGGAGAAGGGAGAAAGGTCAGGAAATTTTTTTTTAGCAAACCACACAATCAATTGTAAGAATAAAGCAGCACAGGACCCATGCACTAATGACATTTGAAGCCACCACAAACCGACAGGACTATGATGAGAATCAAGGCAGTAATAATAGCCAGAACTTATCTTCATGTTCTGCAACCACATCTTTCTCCTCATCTAGGTTCCTTGTGTCCTGAAATCTTGTGCCTGCAACATCGGACCAATGCATACCCATGTTATAACATCATACAAAAACTTGGCAAAAAAGAAATCCTGCAACAGGGCACTGTTCAAAAGAAGACGAGGCAGGGATATAAACAAAAATGTACAATCCTCTGACACATTTTCGAAAACGTGAACACGCCCTATGCAAAGATCTTCATGAATTAAGAGATGTCATTGCTGCTTAAAGAAGGAAAAGTTTAAGCTATCCAATTTTGATGGTGATTTGCAAAACTACATGCGCATGCTATCAAACTGTAGTTGGATTCAGGTCTTAATCCGTAAGGTTTCAACATTATAGTCGGACAAATCTACACGTCATGTGTTCATTTTAATAACATTCTAAACATAATAAAGCCAACCATCAAAATCTCTTTTGAAGTTATATTCATAATACTGGCCACAAAGCACCAAAATTAAACAGATGAAAAAGGTGTGCCCCGCTTAAATGTCAACACCAACCAAATATAAGAAGCCATGCTCACATTGATGAATTTTTTTTAACATAAGCGTTGGCATTCACCAACCCGAGGGTTAAGATTCTCTGTTTTGTCCACCAGAAGCTCAATCTTCGCTCCACAATCAAGCACCTACAAACTCAAACTTTGTTATGATCAAATAATGCACAATTTCTCTTTTCTATAAATCCTTATAGATCTCAAGACTACAAAGAATCCATTAGAGCTCCACAGTAAGGGCATGTAATGTACCAACTAAAATACCAACTATGCCTCACCTTTTCAATATTTTCCATCATCACCCCTTTGACTTCAGAAACTTGAGCTTTCACCTTTGCAAGCTTGCTGATCTCCTCTGGATGATCCACACAATACTGCATCTACTCCTTCAATTTGGGCCTATATTGTAGTGAATAATTTTAAGAGAACAGCAGATAGGATTTCAAGGATTAGCATCGCTAGGTAGAAACAAATAAATACGAAATAAAACTAAGGAAGAAAGAAAAGTAAAGAACATAAGAAAAAAGGAGTAAGAAGGGAAAGATAATTTACCCAAACTCTCTATTCAGACTATTAGCAACAGCTATGGCAGCTTTTTCCCCACTAATAGACAAAAGCAGAGTAAACAAACAGGTAGGATAGTTTTAGCCACCTTTACTGCAAGCAGTCCAAGAAAACAAGGTTTATCAAAAAGGTGAGCCAACAATAAATGTCTCTGATCTCCCTGCACAGTGCCCTCAGCATAAAGGAAAAGTCTAATGTCAGTATTTGGACATTTGATTTTAGGGAGAGTATTTGAAGCATTAGCTGAATTCCACGGAAAAACATAGCCACTGAAAATCCATGAGAAATTATCAAGTGCCATTAAAGAAGCCTTGATAAATGATACAAGCAAGTGAAAAGGCATATTTGAAGTTCAATATGAAATCCACAGTTAGCAATTAATTAAATAAAACATATGGATCATCAAGTCATCGAAAAACCCTAATTACACTAACAATGAATTAAAAAAGTAAATATACTCTACTCAAACCATAAAAAAAAAAGATTAAATCAAGGGAAGAAAGACATACCTCTATGCTTGATTGCCTATTGTGAATAAAACCCACAATGTCTAGAGTTGCGAGGAATGCATCAAAACACCGACAAAACACCAAGGAAAGAGCCAACTATTTGGTACGATAATGATCTTCTTCTTTTGCGACTATGATTTTTGACCAGAGATCCACATTATTTTTGCCTGAAATGCAAACAAAAAATCAAAATAAGTGAATAGAAGTGTGTCTGTGTGTGTATTCGAATGAAGTTGAAAATGTTAGGGCTTTTCTCTGTACCAGCTCGGATATTGAAAATCTTAAGAGCAAAATGCAGAGAATTAAAAGAGAGAGGAGATGAGGAAGAGAATCCTTTTCATTCTTTTTCTTCTGCTGTACATACACCTATATATACTAATTACAAATGAGCAGATAATTGCATACCAAACTTATGCATCTAAATGCTTTACACATAAGAGAAGCTTTCCTAACTAACTGCCAACTTCCACATACCTCAAGATTCTTCTAGTGAGTTCTGCAGGATCCTTCAAGTGTGCTCTACGTGGTCAGGCTGAGCTGGAGAAGGAATGGTCAGTGGAAGCATCAATGGAAGTAGTTGAGCTGGAGGTTGCAGCTAAACTATCTGTATTCTCTGCAAATTTTAACACTCTCCCACAAGATGGAGAGTATATATTGCATACTCCCATCTTGAGAAGCAAAGAGTGAAAAGTTGAAGATGTCAAAGCTTTTGTCATGATGTCTACAATCTGGGAATGTGAAGGCATATAGGCGGTGGAAATCATTTTTTCTTGTATCTTCTCTCGAATTAGATGACAATCTAACTCAATGTGTTTTGTTCTCTCATGGAATACAGGATTTGCTGCAATGTGAAGTGATGATTGATTGTCACAATAAAGAATGGCTGGTGGTTCATGAGGTATAGAAAGGCCATTGAGCAAATGTCTAATCCAAGTGAGTTTACAGCAAGCTGCAGCCATTGATCTATACTCTGCTTCAACTTAACTTCTTGAGACTGTAGTTTGCTTCTTAGATTTCCATGAGATAAGTGACTGACCAATGAAGACACAATAGCCAGTTGTAGATCTCCTAGTATCTGAACATGAAGCCCAGTCAGAATCACAGTAAGCTGTTACCTGTAGGGATGTAGTGGATAGGAAGAAAAGGCCCTGAGTTGGAGATCTCTTGATGTATTTAAGTATCCTATTCACAACATTAAGATGAGGGACACGAGGGGCTGCCACGAACTGGCTCAACAAATTTACTGAATAAGAAATGTCAGGTCTTGTGGTGGTTAAGTAGAGTAGTCTTCCAATGGCTTTTCTATACAAAGATAGGTTACTCAGAATTTCTCCATCATCTTTTGGAGAGTCTTCTGTTTTGTGCCATGGGCACCTTAGCAGGCTTGCATCCAATTAAACCTGAATCTGCAAGAATGTCCAGTGCATACTTCCTTTGACAAACCTATATTCCATGAGAATTTCTGGCTACTTCTAAGCCAAGAAAATATTTGAGAGATCCTAAGTCTTTAATCTTGAATTGAGTACTCATGAACTCGTTCAATTGTGATATGGCATGATTATCATTGGAAGTAACTATAATATCATACACATAAACCAATAATGCCATGAAAGAAGTGTTTGTCTTCTTGACAAACAAACTGCAATCTGAATGAGATTGAGTAAACCCATAACTGAGTAAGGATGATGAAAACTTAGCATACCATTGTCTGGATGCTTGCTTAAGTCCATACAAACTTTTCTTTAACTTACAAACCTTGGTTTCTCCTTTGACATACCCAGGGGGTGGCTGCATATACACTTCTTCTTCTAGTTCCCCATGTAGAAATGCATTGTTCACATCGAATTGATGCAGAAACCAGCCCTTGACTGCAACCAATGCTAACAAAATTCTGACTATTCCAAGCTTTACCACTGAGAGAAGGTCTCATGGTAGTCAAATCCCTTTTGTTGGGTATAACCCTTTGCCACTAATCGAGCCTTATACCTTTTCACAGTCCCATCTGAATTATACTTTACTTTGTACACCCATTTTGAGCCAATATGATGTTTTCCTTTTGGCAAGTCTATGAGTTCCCAAGTATTGTTATATTCGAAGGCTGCAATTTCACTATCCATGGCTTTACGCCATTCTAGAATTTTGGCAGCCTCTGGATATGTATTAGGCTCATGGTGGTTTAGGATTGTTGTAGCAAAACTAGCATACTCATGTGAAAGTTTGTTATATGATAAGAATGAAGACAGGGAGTAGAGATGACCTGAGTCCTTGGATTGTGTTTGAGAAGAGTGAGGCACAATGACTTGGTGACAGTAATAATCTTTCAGATACTCTGGCCTTCTTCTTGTTCTATCTGTCCTATGAAAAGAAGGACTATTTTGCCTTTCTGTGAAGCTTTCCATGGGAACAAAAATGCAAGGAGAGTTGTTGTCTGATGATGAAGAAAGAGGTTCTTCTAGTTTAGGTTGTGAATCAGTGGATGAATATGCATGATTGCTGGGAACTTTGAAGGTACTTGAAGGGATTGGAATTGGCATAGATGCATCTGTTGAACATCAAAGAAGTGATGTAGTGAAGAATAATTATGTGGAGACAACTGATCTGTCTTATAAGGAAAAATATTTTCATGAAATACAACATCCCTTGAATGAAAGATTGAATGAGTCTCTAGGTCTATTAACTTGTAACCTTTGACTCCAAAAGGATAGCCTAGGAATACACATTTTTTGGCTCTAGGATCAAGCTTATGTCTACTCTGTCTCAGTGTAGAAGCATAGCACAGGGAACCAAAAAACTTTAGATGTTTATATGTTGGTTTGGTTTTGAAGAGGAGCTGATATGGGGATTGGTTCTGTAGGTTGGGTGAAGGGGTTCTATTTATCAGATAGACTGCAGTTAACACACAATCATTCTAGAAATCGATAGGAATTGCTGAATGAAACATGAGGGATCTGGCTACATTAAGAATATGATGATGCTTCCTTTCAACAACACCATTCTGTTGAGGGGTTTTTACACAACTTGTTTGATGGATAATTCCCTTTTTCATAAAGAATTCTCCCATATTGAACTCATTTCCTTTATCAGTCCTGATTATCTTAACTTTGGATTGAAATTGGGTCTCTACAATAGAATAGAAGGATTTTAGAAATGGTCTAGCTTGGGATTTAGCCTTCATTAAGTAGAGCCATGTGCATCTTATGAAATCATCAACAATGGTGAGGAAATATCTTGAATTATCATAGGCTATGTGTGTGCTAGGTCCTCATATATCACAATGAATTAAGTCAAAAGGATTATGTGACTTGTGTTCTTTACTAGGAAATGGAAGCCTATGAAATTTGGCCAATGGACAAACTAAACAAGGAGTTTTGTCATTGATGAATTGAACATTTGACAAATCATTCTTTAACAAAGTAAGTCTTAAATTTAAGAGATGACCTAGCCTACAATGCCATAAATCATACTCAGACTGAGAACAAACTGAAGTTGAAATAGAAAGATGAAGTTGTATTAAGAGAAATGGAAGAAGTTGGTGTCATCTTGAGCTGGTACAAGCCATTGTGTATCTCACCCTTTCCAATCATGCTCCAAGTGGAAAGGTCCTGCATTAGCAAAAAAAAGGAAGCAGCAGTTGAGGTCCTGTGACAATTTTCTAGCTTACAAAAGGTTGAATCTAAAAGATAGGATGCATAACACATTTTTTAGGGTGATGGCATCATTGATTTTGACAGTCACTGTGTGTGTCACTTCTGATAAATCACCATCAGAAAATTTTACTTTGTAAGAGATTTTGATAGGTGTAGAAGAATAGATGGAGGAGCTACAGATCATATGATCTGTTGCACCTGTATCTATTACCCAAGGGATTTGTTTGGTATCTAAAGAAGTGATTTCAGAATTTGAAAAACAAGAAATGATACCAGTCACAGTAGTGGATTGAGTGTTAATTTGATTACTCTGAACTTGATTAGCAGAAGGTTGCACAGCTTTGATTTGAAATAAGGCCATGAGATGCTGATATTGTTCTTGGGTGATTGCAGAGTGTGACCCTTCTACCTGCTGCTCTTGGTTTACTGCACTAGCTTGATTAGCTGATGGAGTAAACCCCTTGTTTTTGCTATGCACTTTGTGACCTGGTAGATATCTATGGAGTTTGAAACATTTCTCAATCGAATGCCCAGTCATATTGCAGTGAGTGCAGAATGGCCTTTCTAATTCTGGATTTGCCTTGAAACATTTTTCTATTGAATGACCAGGGATCTTGAAGTGAGTACAATAAGGTCTTTCTTTCATCTGAGGACCAGAAT